CCTGCTGCAGACACACTGACTGACCCCTCCAGGACTGGACAGCCCTGCTGCAGACACACTGACTGACCCCTCCAGGACTGGACAGCGCTGTGTTACAGTATGTGTTACAAGACACATGGGAAAGATACCAATGTAAAACACCCAGCAAAAAAAGAACTATACCTTTATCAACATACATCCCCACACACTGATAAACCTCATTTAGGAGAGGATCCGAGCCCCGACTCACCCCGTAGATCCGCAGCGTCGAGCGGTGCAGCTGTTCGCTGTTGGCGGCAGACATGGCGAAATCGCGGTCGGTCCTCGCCCGCCGGCGGTTAAAACCGAAAAAAATAGAGAGTTTCTTTCGGGGAAAAAAAATGATCACGATAATACCAATAAGTAAAATGATCCCTTCGGTCACGACAAGCCTGTTTTTATTTCCAAGAGATGTGAACAAAATAATAAAAAACACACTGACACACACACACACGGCCGTTATGCGGATCACAGCCCGGTAAAAACGTTCGTTGAATCGGACGGACGAAGGCGGCGGGACGTCGTTTCTTTCCGTTCTGGTTTTAAAACCGTAACCAGAGGACCCACCAATGCCGAGACAACGCTGGGGGGGAAAAAAAGTGTCCCGCACTAAAAACCCCGTGAACCTGCCGTCTACCACACCGGAGACACTGGGAGAGGGAGACGCGGGGAGACGAGGGCGGGAACACGGGGACGGGAGATAACAGACACCGAGGGCTCGTAAATTATTGATCGCGTCCTTAAACCGGCCTTACCTGGTATCCCCCCCCCTCCCCCGCACACACATACACACGCAGGTTAAAGCTGGCACCGAGCCCATCCGATCAGGGAAGACGCAAATCCGCGGCTGGTTCTTTATTTCTTGTCGTTCGTCAACGGCCGCCCTTCGTCTCCCGCGACTCAAACATGGCGGCGGCGGCGGCCATTGTGAAAATTCACCGGCGGATCCCGGCCTTGTCACCTCGGCCTCGACTCGCAGCCCTTGGCCCTTTTATCTTTATCCAACAGAGGTGTTTTTGTTTGGTTTGTTTTTTTTTTTTTACAAATAACGGGTATTTTTACCCCCTGTCCAGGCCAGCTGAGACTTCCCCGTACGAGGACAGAGTGGTTGTAAAGCGATATTTTTCGGGATGTTTCCGGTCGCGAATAACACACAGTTTTAGTGAAAATGAAGCAATTCTGAGAAACTGTGTGCACCCCACCCAGAGCAGAGCTCCCTTCATTCCGGGATGCCTGGTCCTGGCTTTGGGAAGATAGTGAGAGTTTTTTTCTACTTCTATTTAAACCACCTGCGTATAAAAAGAAACCGTTACATTTGTCCAATTAACTGAAGATCATTTCAATCATGGAGATCCGACTTGGAATAAAAACCAAGGCACACAAGTGAGTTGGCACATTGGCACACTGTTTAGCACTGCTGCCTTGCAGTGATGGTGCCCTGGGTTCAATTCCTGGGAGTGTTGTCTGTGTGGAGTTTGCATGTTCTCTCCTGTTCAGATTGGTTTCCTCTAGGTGCCCCGGTGTCCTCCAACAGTCCAAAGGCGTGCAAGTAGGCTAACCGGCTTCTGGGAGAACTGGCCCAGGTGTGAGTGTGTGTGTATTTGTATGTGTGCCCTGTGATGGACTGGTGTCCCATCCAGCATGCACCCTGCCTTGTGCGCATTGCTTGCTGGGATAGACCTCCAGCTCCCCCCCAACCCTCTACTGGATAAAGCAGTTAGAAAAAGGATAGATGGACACACAAATGTCCAATCCTTGACTTCTCCAAGCGTTGAAGGAACCATCCTGGACAATGAAGAATGAGGAATTGGGAGGAAGACCTGTATTTACAGCAAAACAAGGTTGAGAAATAAGGCAAACACAAATCTTTATAACTGAGACTTCATGTTTAATGCTTACTCATACCATCAGTTGCAAGCATTTAAAAATTAGAGGTATAGTTTCCAGGTCAGTATAGCACAACCACTTCCTTCATTGTTTCGTTCTGTAAACAATAGCCTTTGTTAATTATTAACCCGCCAGGATCTTGGGGAGCCTTCCTGCACGCAGGGGGACACCCCTTCCACCGGCACTGGTCTCAGTGGCCTCCCCTGACCACAGCCCCAGCTGGCTTCTGCTCTGTTTGGGCTCTCGATCGTTTACCAGATTTATTCACTCATTAACAATTCCACATTTTGCGTACTGCTCTCAAGTGCCAGTAATGGGTTTACAGACACTGTCCTTTTTAAATATTCCTAAGTCACCACCACAGCAGCAGTCCGGTCAAGGGCTTGACAGAGCGACTCAAGAGAGTAGCCCGGACTAGCTGCTTAGCTGAGGCACAGAGGTCAAGAGGACCTGGACTGGGGAGCCCTGCTCTTTTCCTTCAGTAACAAGTTCCTTCAGTGCAGTTAGGTCACTAGTTCACAGACAACGGCGCCCCACTGGGCTACTTCTTGGGGGACCCCAGTGAGTCTGCCACTGTACGATCAGGCAGCGTTGCTCCCAACACCCCCAGCTCTTTGTGTACAGAGGCACCTGCTGGCGTCCTTTTTCCCCAACAGGGATTAACTGGACAGAAACGCAACACAGAGGCGTCCGAGAGAGACGTCAGTCTTTGCTAGGAGGAAACGGGCGTTAGGCAAGCGTCTGCGTCAGGCCCTGCGTGGTCCGCACAAGCCCCAGCTGCTGCAGGCCCTGCTGGGTTTGTGATCTGGGATCTTCTGTCAGGCGGGGGTGGAGCACGACTGGTCATTTTAACCACTCGATACCGGTGTTAGTACACCGGCCTCTGGATCAGTCAAGGAGGAATTAAGGATTAGCTGGAACGAAGACCAAGGAGGAAAAGGACAGGACGGGACTGGCACCGCCAGAGGCACCACTGGTCTACAGTGCCCCCTAGTGCCCATCCCCGGGAGTTTTTTTTTTCTTGATGACTCCAGTCTGGTGGCCGCTATCCCTGCAGCAGCTGCTGTGCCAGGGCCTGCACCTTCTCCCTCTGCTGGTACAGGTACATCTGGGTCTCCCACAGCATGTTCACCAGCACCGCGTCATTCACCTCATCCAGCATCACCTCCATCGAGAACTGGGGACTGAGCCTGGAGGCGGAGAGACAGAGAGAAGAAGGGAGGTTTATTAGGGGGCTGTACTGAGAGAGGGAGGGGGAGACAGACGCAGAGAGCAGGGAGCGCACGAGTTCCCACGCAGCGCAGAGACCCGACCGCTCCCCCTCGCTCACCGGAAGTAAGTGGTTTCGGTCATCTCACACCAGGACCGCGCCCTGTCCACTGCACAGCCGTCCGAGTCCGTGCACTGAGAGCAAGAGAGAGAGGGGGGAGGGGATCAACACACGTCAGGAGCTGCGCTCGGCATTCACCTTTGACCCCCTCGGGTCAAATTAAACAGGCCGGTCTTGGGCTAATCTGGGCAGACACGCTCTGAAGCTTTGTGCTGGTTAAACTACAACTGGACCTATCTCATCTCTCTGAATCCCCTCGTTATTTCTAAAATTGGATTGAGTCCACTAGCCAGTGGTACTGTATGGCTGGACTAATACCCTAGATATTTTTTTCAATCTGGACTCCTCCACTAGTCAATGCTAAAAATATCATCCCCTGAAACTAACACTACACTCTTCCACTAGTCAGTCCTAAAACTGGATTAATACCCTATTTATTCCACCAGTCAATGTTACGAATTGACTGATACCCTTGTTATTTGGAAAACTGGACTATTCTACTAGTCAGGGCTAAAACTATGAATTCACTAGCTAATACTAACACTACACTGTTCCTCTAGTCAGTTCTAGGATCCTGTTTATTGCACATACTGGACGATTCTACCCATCAATGTTAAGCATTGACAAATACCCTTGTTATTCCTGACAACTGGACTATTCCCCTCATCGAGGCAGTCAGTAACATGACTGGACTAATCCCCTAGTTGTTGCTAAAACCGGTCTACTGCGCTAGCCACCGACAAGCCTGGATTAAGAGCTGTTGCCATGACTCTTCCCAGGGTGCTCCACTCTGGCCAGTCACCATGCTGTTTCCTACAGCTGCCAACATGGCGGAGGGACAGCAGGGGCCCCGCGTGATGCCCGTTTCTCTTCACCCCTCCGACACTCACGCAGTCCACCAACATTTTGCCCAGCTCCTTGGCACCCACGAAGGATTTGGCGAGCTCCAGGGGGTTGGAGGGCCGGAATACGTCCACGGAGTTGACCGCCACCTGGGGGGGCTTCCCTGTGCCCAGAGAGACCACCACGCCCAGCCTCTGCACTTCCTGTCGCCGGCCCTGCCGCAGGGAACCGGGAGACACGGATCAGATCCCGCTGCGCGGCAATCTGATCCGGTTTGGGTCTTACACACAGTGCGCGTGCAACAACACAGGCGAAGGAGAAGGAGAAGGCAGCTTCTCTTTTTCCCAGGATTAAGGATTTGGTTGATCCCTGTCAAGGACGTCGGGATGATGAAGCTAGGACCGTATCGTAATGGAGACCAGTAACGGCTGGAATGGATCAAACTGGGAGGGAATGGGATGAAGAGAGCGAGGCCCGCTCCCTCTCCCCCCTACCTGAGCCTTCGCCGTCTTGTTGTAGCGGTGTATCTCCGTCATGGCGTCCAGCGTCGGGTTGTTGGCCAGCAAGCCCCCATCTAGGAAGCGCCCCATTGGCCGGAAATACGAGGGCGCTGCCCCACTGGACCGAGCTGCCCGCCACACTAACTGTTCTGATGGGGGGAGGGGGGGGGGCAGGGGAGGAGAAGGAAAATAAACAAGAATGAGAGAGAGAGAGATGGGAGAAGAGGGCCGATCGCGCATTTCAAATGCGAACGATTCCCAGCGCTTTTGGGGGTACAACACCAACCCCACAGGGGGTGAAGCAAGGAGGAGGTGCAGTTACTAACCCCCCCCTTGAGGAAAAAGACCCGTGCACACCCACCGATCCCCAGGCCTCCCTGTGCTGCTGTATCAGCGACGTGTTCACCCATGCAAGAGAAGCAGTGTCTCTCTCTCCCTACGCACAGCAACACACACCTTCCTCAGTCACCTTCCTACGCTTGGGGGCTCCGGGTGTGTACCCCACTATCATCACCTCCTCCTCCTCCTCTGAAATAACAACACACCGCCGCTTACTCCGAGCCGGGGCAAGGGGAGGGAGGGGAAGAGAGGAAGAGGAAGAGGGCTGAAGATCAAGGACAGAGGGACAGAGAGAGAAGCCAAGGACAGGGTTTACCCTGGGGAGCGAGGAGGGGTCTGAAGTCAGCGCTGCGGGCATAGGGGGGGTCGCGGTCGGGATCGGGGGGGTCATAGTTCCGGAAGAGGTGCAGCTCGGCAGGGTGTCTGTCAGCCAGCACGCTTGTCACCATCACCCTGGCACACAGAGAGACACACATTAAACCCCACTGCCCTGGACAGGCAGACAGACAGGTGCTAAACCCCACTGCCCAGGACA